ACACATACTACTACGTACGTACTCTCTCCTACCGTAAACCGTAAAACGAAAGAACGAAACGAAAGAACGACGTCGTACGACGTTCGTAGTACGTACTACTCTCTCTCTCTCTCTCTCTCTCTCTCTCTCTCTCTCTACATAGGAGAAGAAAACAAGATGACACTAAGTGTTTGATGCAAGCCTCTCTCTCTACACAAAAGTAGATGACCTCGAAGTGTTGGTATCTCACATATAACAAGATGACCTCTAAGTGTTCGATGTGAGGTACTCACATACACAGACCCTTATGCTCTCTCTCTCTCTCTCTCTCTCTCTCTCTCCCCAAAAAAAAAAAGACAACCAATACTTTAGGCCACCTGGGTATCTGGGGCCTGCCTAGGCCGCCAAAACTGCCTTCTTCAGCATAGTTAATAGGTAATATAAAATATTTGAAAGTCACTAGTCATTAAGTTCACCAACCATGGCATCATAAATGAAATATTATCCCACAAGCATTCAGCCCAAATATGAGAGGCTGTTTGCATCAGAAGACACCATGATAGTTAAGGAATCACGTACATGAACAGTTAACATAATGTGACTTAAGCTTACTTTCAATAACTCATCTTTTCTTCGAGAAGAAGGTGCCTCCTCATACGCCTTGAGTGACCCTTGGACCTATGATTCACATGGCAAATGAATAATAATACCCACTGGATTATTCATATGGAAAGGACAACATTTTTTGTTCATGAGCTAAGAGCAGTAATGATAATCAGACAATTCTAGCACTAAAAGATAGTAAGCTCAAACGACATAAAAATAGCAGAATAAGAATACGAATGAAAATTAAAGATGCATTCATTGGATTCCGCAAATCCCAACTCTCAATTCTCCCAATTTATGCTCATGAGCTATCCCAACTCCCCATTCTCCCAATTCATGCTCATAAGCTTACCCTCACGTATAATAAGTTTTCATCCCCAAGGCCACAATGCCAATATAACAACCATTTATTATAGTTTGAGTTGACCAAAAGGCTAAAGATACCTACATTCAATGTTTATAAAAACTCTTTCGGAATGAGGTGAGAAAGTGAGTTGGTCAAAGACTAATTTTTACGATGACTAGTTGAATTCGGGGAGATTGCCAATCTGGAGAGCCCTGGATTGCATTGAAGGAACTAAAGCCTCTAATCCCTAGTGAAGACTACTCAGTCTGCAGAGAGCCGCTAAGAGATAGAATGGTTAATTCCCTGCATATGGCGTACAAGCACTCCTAAGGCATCTCCAAAGATTCAATGAGTATTAGAGAGTGTTTGGGATCTAAAGCTTTCCATTTCTCAAGGCTTCTCCTGAATTGTGACTCCAATGCATGACGCAACAAGGCACACCTAAAGCCAAATCTCCATAAGCATCATTCATCATCATAGGAAGATGGTCAACAGCGTTTCCGGTCATTAGTGTCCAAAAGACAGGTCGTAGGGTTCCAACCAGTAGCTGCAAAGGTGAGAAGAAGGAAATTCATCATATCATTAAACAAATGCCCCATTGAACTTCATTCCAGGTCACATTTTCAACCGTGTTTGATCCTAAATGGGGTCTAAAGGTCCTTCTCACTCGAGGTTTAAAATCACTGAGTCACCCAAGCTATGTTTATCTATGCAACTAGACATGACCAAAATTTGAGAACCTTGCTAAGTGAAGGTGTTCATTTGTAACAAGTGCTGAGTGCATTGCAAATGCAAGTTTGTCTTCAAATTCAGATTTAATATACACTAATAGGAATGCCATTGAATGGAACACAACAGAGTCAAACAAGACCCAACGGACACAAACATTTCAAGGACCTTCATGCTACATTTCACAACTATGCCTCGGAATATAAAGAATCAACCCCCATATGTGATAATGGCATGGATTCTCTCAAAACTCATCAGGTGAACTAGTATATATCATTCCAAAATTTTACTTTTTCAAAAAGTTAACAGTTAGCTTCTAGAATTGCAATTATATAAACCAACGTTTTAAAAAACGCCGAGTCGAACCGAACTCGCCCGGTTCGACTCGAAAATAGTGAAAAAGGAACCGGATCGCCCAAAAATCGGAAATCGTCCGGTTCTAGAGAGAACCGGACGATTTTGTACAGTGAATTGCCGATTCACTGTACGAAATCGGCGAGTCCGAACAGTGAAACAGCGATTCCGTACGGTAATTTTTTTTTTTTTTTTTTTTGGTGGTAATCCATGATAGAT